CTGCAATGTGCTGTACATGATGCTGCCCTTGAAAACTATTTGGAAGATACAACTGGTACAAAATGCAGCGGCACAAGCAATAATGGGTGCCTCTCGGTATGCCCATGTGTCACCGCTGCTACATGAGCTTCATTGGTTGCCAGTCACCTTCCAGGTGCAATTCAAAGTGCTGGTTGTTACCTATAAAGTGTTCATGGCATGGGGCCTGGATACCTGAGGGACTGCCTATCTCCAACTGTTTCTGCCTGCCGGTATCTTTCAGTAGAGTGGGTATCCTCCAGGTCCCTTCTATTAAACACTGTCAATTTATAGAACCGAGGAAGCATCCATTGTCTGGCCCCCGCCCTCTGGAACAGCATCCCCCCAGAGATATGGGCAGTACCCTCTTTCCTGGGATTCTGAAAAGTTCTTTTGTTCTCAGGCCTGGGGTTAATGTGTTTGGGAAGCCTCTGGTTTGGTTTGTGTCAGGTTCAGCCCAAAGAACTCCACGAGACAATGCAAACACAGTTCTGCTGCGTTTATTAGCTTCCACCTCAAGACAGAATCTCACCAGACTGAACCCAAGTTCCCAAGCCAGCCAGCCAGCCACAACACCGTGAATTCCTTAGGGAGGTGCCAGCCTCATCTTCCTGAATGTCCCACGCTCCTGTTGGGAGCTAAGAACATGCTTATCTCCCTGAGCATGGCCTTCGTAAGTCCATTCCATCACAGTTTGATTTGTTATTGCTATGATTTTAGGCCAGGCTGCCTGTGTTGTTGTATGTTTTTAATTGCTTTAATTGTTTTTTTTATTTGTAAACTGCCCAGAATGTATGGGAGTGGGCAGCTATAATAAATTTAAATAAATAAATAACACCTTCTACTACTGTAATTCTACATATAGTATTTCTGTAGCACTCTGTAACATAATTCTTTTAATCTTTCCCAAGCAGTTTCCATTCCTTTTTACTTATTTCCACATTATTTTAGAAATAATTGACTCAATCTATTCTTTTCATGGATTGCTCTATCTTCTAATACTTTTTATATGCAATCTGTACCTTCTGTTCCTACAGTCATTCTACTTTCACTCTCTTATTTCACTTCTTGCCTTTCCATATCTATTTCTTCAATTCTTGATATTACCAAAACACTTTTCTACATTCAGAACTTCCCATTACCCATATTCATTCCTTTGCCACATGTACAGTATGTATAAATAGCCTTATATCTAAACCACTTTAGATGGATATAAACAAAATATACCTTTCTCTAAGAAGCTACTCACCAGTCACCATATCTGGGTCTCCAAATGGCTCAATCACTTAATCTGTGTTCTCTTGTCTTGTTCCTTCTCATCCATTCATGTTACCCCGAAAAATAGTTTTCCACCTAATTGCATTCATTTGGAATCTTGGATAATTTCTCTCAGACTCATCTGTTTCTTCCATTATCACTACAACTGTCATCAACCTATAGATTTCTACTTTCACATGAACCCACAACAATCTAGATGATACCAACTCATACTTTCAATACATTTAGCCATTTCATTCATAATTAAACTTACACATTCAGGTCCCTGCATGGATTCATCAATGCCACCCCTCTAGATAGATCACTTTCATTTCAATTACATCCTTCCCCTTTCTCTTAGCTTCACAGACCCACAATATATCCTTTTCTTTAATTTAATCTATTAATTCATGCCCATTATCATTTATTTTTCTTACATTCCAAGTCACAACTTGTCACATGCCATGATAATCATAAATAGGATCATAGATACAGTAGTTAACTGACCTCTGCCACTCATCATGGCTCCTGTCAATTAAGGCTTTATTTTATATATTAATATATCTATATCCATTTCTACATCATATAAATAAATAAATAAATAAATAAATAAATAAATAAATAAATAAAGTATGTAGACTAGATTCCCAGACTTAGTTTGATAAGTATAGTAGTGGTCAGTTTCAGCACATTCCATCTAGTATGCCACAGATACAAGCAAAGCCCAATTTTATACAAATCTGCTAATCCTATTCTGTGCAAATTAGAATTCATAATCTATAAATTACCTAGCCAGTTAGCATACTATTGCCCACATTCCTCCATCTTGGAAGTATTTGCTATATATTGACACTCACTCAGGATGCAGATTCTTTATTTCTACGATTGCATTATTGCAATTGCAAAAATCTTTGTTAGCATCTCAAACCTACTGATTTCACAAGTCTATAGATCATTGTATACAGTGCATTTTAAAACATCCACAGTTCTCAATTTTCATAATAAGAAAAATCAAAGCAAAAGAGCTACTTACTTGTATTTAAGAAACAGCCATTGGATTATCCATATTCCAACAAGGATAATTCCATTTATTTCTGATACAGAAAAAGCCCATTCCACACGATCAATATAATCAAAAAATTTATCTGGCAATGGAGGACTGAGCTCCTTGGGAGGTACCCTCTCATGTACCACTGTGGTCATGACAGTTGTTAAAATTAAATTGAAGACAGCATATACAAAGGCAATGCCTGTTTTCCACCATTCTAAAGGAAATCTGTTTCTAGATTCAGTGGGAATGGAAAATTGTATATAGTCTAGATACTTTTTAGCACCTTTTAGCAAACCATTGAATAAAGCCTTTGGTTTATTGCTGCCATTCTTGCTTTCCTCACCAACACTGAGAGCAGGTTGAGCATAACCACTGGAAGTTTCACTGGACTGGCCTTCCATATGTTCTTCAAGCTTTGCTGTCTCTATGGTATCCATCAGGTTTAATGTGTATGAGAAAATTAATGGATTCTAGTCTGGTTTCCAAAAATATCTTCCACTTCTTTTTTCAAGTCTTCCTCATGTACTTTCACCCACTTTTATTCTTTTAACAAAGCGTACAGAAACTGTAGGTCCCACTTTCAGTTACAGGTTTGGTTCTTCGGTAGATTTTTCTTTGAAGGATCATCAACATGCCATCTGCAATTAAATTTAATATACAGTAATCAACATTTGTAAAAAATCCACATTGTTAGACATACATATATGCACATGTGGATCACACTGTACTATAAAAAAGTGATATATAATAAAATATTACTAGTTAAATTGTAATATGGGAAAGTTAAGTTGATGCTTATTTATTCAGTCTTGTTAAGGAAAAGTATGATATATTTAATTGCTAAGGGATGGGGAGCAGCCAACCTTTTCTAATAAAGTAATTATCTGTTTTCATTGTGGCTATAACCAATTATTGTTTTAATCCTTAGCTGTCAAAATATCAAGTAAGTCAATTAGCATTACTTATATTTAAAATGCATAAAGTCTCTTTATTCCTAAGATGGTGCACATGAAACACAAATAATAAAATAAGAGTAATTCTGGCAAAGACACCGACTAATTAAATTCCTGAGCAAACAGGAATATGTTTAGTTTAATGCTACAAAAGAAAGCAATTATATCTTCAGAACAAGGGCTCAAAGTTGGAGGAGCAACTTGCCACCAATTTGCCACAGCCATTTCTTCTGTAAATGATGAAAGTTGTTCTCCAACTGATGGATTGCAGGAAGGAATTCTCTTTGAAAATCTTAATGCATGGGCAGATTGATATGGAAGTATGAATGCCTCCAGATCTTTCAGTCTAAATAGTTTTATGGTAAGCAGACCCTTAAATTGTATTGCGTAAATATAATTCTCTAATCAATGTGACGTGGCTATATTTAGGTAAACTTAACAGAATTCTAGCTGCCACGTTCTATACAAGTTGAAACTTCTGCACTATTTTCAAGGAGAGAACATCTCAAATAATCCAACCTGGAGGATGCTAGCATCTGAACTACCATATTCCCCCCCCCCTTCTATGGAGAACTGTAGATAGTGCTCTAAGCTGAGAACAATTTCATTTGAAGTGATGTTGGAGCAAAAAACACCCCAGACTAAATACTTGCTCCTTCAGGGTAAAGTGTAATCTCAACCATAAGAACTAGAACATCTATTTCAGGACTCAGCAACCACCTACCCACACTGCTTTCATTTGTTATAATTTAGCTTTGGTTTCTTAGCTTTCATCCATTGATTTAGCACTTCTATCATCTTGCCTGATGCAGATAATAAGCAAAGGAGTAGGGCATCATGAATTCAGTGATGACTCCTTGGTTCAATTAACAATGTTCATAAAAGTTTAGACAATCTGGCTTGAATTCTCGTTGGAGTTACATGCACAGATAAACCAAATAGTATTTGATGCGCTAAGCTAGAATGTGGCTTAATGGTTCTTGATCTAACATGTTGGTTTTTTGTAAACCATAATTTAAGGCTTAGTATTTGTGCAAATGCAGCCAACTGTTGCTTAGTCAATCAAGTAATGTATGTTTAGACTTTGGTTTATTGTTTTGTATGAACCCAGACAATATATGTCTTACACTATAAGACAACTTGGACTCATCCTTTGGCCAAAAAAATATCAACTGAGGGGAGAGGCTTTTCCCCCCTTCATCCCTGTCAGAAATACAAGTCAGCTCTTCTATACTTCCTGCATTAGGATTGAATAAACAGGGAAAAAATCCATTAGACGAAAGGACAAGCCACGAACTGCTATTTGTTTTTAATGTAACCTGTATGTGGTCTCAGACTTACAAGTCTCTTCCCCTTGAGAGAAGGCTCGTTGTTGAGTACTTAATCAGATTATCCTCTGCGCAATACAGAAAAGGTTTGTTTTTTTTAAAAAGACGGGGAGAAGTCTATAGATTTGCATTCTTTCATGCAGATATAATTTTTAAATTTTAGAATGTGATTTTAGAAATGATTAATTATGACATAAGGAATATTTACAAAAGAAAAATACTCCAATATATTAAATATCCCCACTTAGACTTGCTCTAGCCTTCACGCTCACTACAAGGAAGGGGGCAGCAGGACTACCATGAACAATATGATCAAGCAAGCAGTCAAAGGAATATGCTCCAAATGTTCTAGTCACTATGGTTTACAGTAAGTATTTAATGTGGCTTACATCTGTTTTCATACCAGTGTAAACAAAAGAATCTGCCAACAGGATATCACAACTACAAAAATAAGACAGTTAG